TGTCGTTTCCTGGTGTCCAGATAACACACTTCCAGCAGGGGTCGCTCAGTTAAGGTTAAAAGTGAAAGGGGTGCTGCTCCAGCAGGCAGTTTTATCCTGGATGGAGTGTTGTAACTGCACCCATCCTGTCAAGTGGAGATTATCCCATCTCATTCCTGATTTCTGACTTGTTGATGGTGGACAAGCTAAATGGACTCAAGAAATGAGATGTTTGCTTCTTAATTGCCAGCTTCTGACCTGCCCTTGTAGCTACAATATTTACATGGCTGGTCCAGTTTAGTTTTTGGTCAACAATAATGCCCGTGATGCTGATAGTGGGGTATTCAGCGATAGTATTACCATTGAATGTCAAACTGTTTCCCAACACAAAACAGATGGACAAAGTATAAATCTCCCAATCATTTCCTCCAAAGCACGTTGACAGTTTTCTGTTGCCTACTATGCATGTCCAGCCTGAAACAGAGTGCAGATTGCAACTGTAACTTGCACCACGTCATTGTCACTTTGAGGTCTGAACAAAGTTTCAAGTAAAAAAGCTATTTGCAGCAGAATTATGGCTTGCTTTTCACCAAGAGATACATACATGCAAATCTGCAGTGTGGCCACTTCGCTAAAACTGAATGTGCACTTTGAACCCCTAACATTTCACCGTTATTCTAAGCTACCAGGACAAGATCATTCATAACTGAAAGGAGTAAATCCTCACACAGGAAGCCCCAGAAATTTTCAGCTATGGATTCTATCTGAGATATCTAAGCAGTTCAATACATGGAAGGAGAGTGGGCATTCGATTCCTGGGATGTTGGGTCAGGTTCTAGGGAAGGGAGAACTTGCACAGGCTGGATGAGTTGCAACTCAACAATGCTGGCACCAATGTCCTTATAAGCAGGTTTTCTACTTGCTTAGGTGGTTGGGAAGCAGGTTGTATCATTAGACAGGAAAAGAATGAACATAAAGGGTCAGAAGAGACAGATGGCACTAGAATAAGGAATTGTTAAGGTATTAGGTGATTTTAAAGTAAGAATGATGCAAAAAGTCTATTTTAGATTTGCAATGCATGTATGTTAGAACACACAGCACGATAAATAAGGTTGGTGAAATGCAATCACAGACAGCCACTTGGGATTATAATACCATTGTGATAGTGAAGATTGTTTTAAAAAGAAAAGGGGGCCGGAATGCGTACTAAATATTTCTGAACACAATGTTTTCTGCATAGATATGGAAGGAAAAAAAAGGAGGACACTTGGCAGCTTTGATTAAGAAGAATAATACAGTGCTGGATATTTCCTTGAGTTGTAAAGTACAAAATCTGAGGTTACAGCTAAAGAACAACAGATATCATTGCATTACTGCTGTATTCTGTGGGCCATCAGCTCTGAGAAAGGGAGGGACATATTTGTAAGGAAATAATAGATAAGTACAAAACAAGAGTTGTAATGGCAAACTTCAATTATCAAAATAAGTATGATGAAAATAAGGTAATGGGCAGAAAAGAAGAGGGGAGAAGAGTTTCTGAAGTGCATTCAGAAGAAACGTTGGAAAAGAACCAAATTAACTTTTGTCACCTTGCAATCACATCTCTCTAATAGCTGTCATATAGTCATTCATTTCGATCTATGCCATTAATTGATCTAGTTATGAATGTTGTGTGCACTCAAACAAAGAATTTTAATTCTGTCTTAATATAGAAAATAGGAATATAAGTAGGCCATTCAGCCCTTTGAGCCTGCTCTGCCATTCAGTACAATCATGACTGATTATCCAGTTTAGTTCCCTGTTCCCCATACTCCTTTTGTGCAAAGAACTACATCTAAGTTCTTCTTGAAAATATTCAATGTTTTGGCCTCAACCGCTTTCTGTGACAGACAATCCCACATGCTCACCACTCTCTGGATAAAGAGATTTCTCCAAATTTCAGTCCTGAATAGTGTCCCCTGTATCTTTAGACTCTGCCCCCAGTTCTGGACTTGGGTCATTGGAAGTATCCTTCCTTCATTTAACGTGTCTTGTCCTGTTGGAATTTTATATGTTTCTATGACATCCCTCCTCAATCTTCAAAACACCAGTGAATGTAGTCCTAACTGATTCACCCTCTCATCTTAGATAACAAGGTGTAGAGCTGGATGAACACAGCAGGCC